TTTCTTTTAGCTTGATGAATTCCCTTTACTTGTAACGAGTTCTCTCAGCTTTTGTTTTTCTGAAACTATTATTTCATATTCATGTTTGGAGGATATTTTTTCAGTGTAAAACTTGAGGTAGGTTGGTTTATTTTCTTATTTTTTTTAAAGATGTCATGTTGTTGTATTCTGTTTCCATTGTTTACAATAAAAAATTGATTGCTAGCCTTATTGCTGTTGCCCTGAAGACAATGTGTATTACTTTCCCTGGCTACTTTTCAGATTTTCTCTTAGACTTTGGTTTTTAGGACTTTGACTCTGATGTTTCTAGATATCATGCTGAGGTTTGTAGAGCTTCTTATGTTTGCTAGAGACTTATGTCTTGTTAGCTTTGGGAAATTATTTACCAGTATTCTTCAGATACTATGTATATTTAGTTTTCTCTTCTCTGCTTTTATAACTCCAGTTAGATGTGTATTAGATCTTTTCACCATGTTGGACATGTCTTTACCCTTTTATTTTCCTGTATTTTTTTCCTTCTTTATTTTCTCTCGGTGTGTCATATTTTCTATACTTTTTTTTTTTCAGTTCACCAATTCTCTCTTTTGCTCTTTCTAACTAAAATGCTGAGTTCTTGATATCAGTGATGAATTCTTATTTTTCAGTTTTGGAATTTTCATTTGGCCCTTAAGAATTCTATGATTTTGCTGAAATTCTCCATCTGTCTAGTGTTTTTCTTCTTTGACATTTCAATCACAATTATTTTAGTCTCTCAGATAACTCCAAGATGTGAATGGCCCATTTGTCTTTTTCTAATTTGAATTTCTCTTGGTAGTCTGTTTACTCTCTTTTTAAAATATTGAGATGAAATCTACCATTTTAACTTCTTAAAGTGTACAATTCAGTGGTTTTTGGTATATTCACAGTCCTGTGAAACTGTCCAGAATTCCAAAACATTTCTGTTACCCCTGAGGTTAAGACTGGGATTGACGGTCAGTCTTCCCTAAGTTCTCCCCTCTGCTCATCCCCCAGCAATGAATCTTCAACCTGTTTTTTGTCTCTGTACTTAACCTATTCTGGACATTTCATGTAAATGGAATTACACGATGTAGTCTTTTCAATTTGAGTTCTTTCACTTAGCATAGTGTGTTCAAGGTTTATCAGTGCTGTGATATGTATCAGTACTTCATTCAATTTTTGTGGTTGAATAATACTCCATTGTATGGATGTGCAATATAGATAGCACATTTTGTTATTCATCATCAGTTGATGGACATTCATTTGAGTTTTCCCAAACTTTTTGGCCATTATGAATGCTGTTATGAACATTTGTGAACAAATTTTGTGTGAATCTATGTCTTTAATTTTCTTAGATCTATAGGAGTAGAATTGCTAGGGCATGTAGTAACTCTTTAACATTTTGAGGAACTGTCAAATTGTTTTTCCACAGCGGCTGTTCTTACAATCCCAACAGCATTTATGAAAGTTTCATTTTCTCTGCATTCTTGCCAATATTTGTTATTTCCTGTAGTTTTTAAAAATTGTTATAATCATCTTAATTGGTGTTGGCCATTTACTCTTATTTTTTAGAATGCCTTGTAATTTTTAATAGAATGCCGGATGTTATAAGTGAACAGTTGTAAGGACTCTACTTGCTGTTATTTTCCTCAAAAGAGTTAAGTTTTACTTTGGTAGGAGAAGTACTAGGGGATCACCTTGAACCTTTTGAGGGTTGATTACAAAGTGTTTTAGGGTTGATCTTATTTCAATTTTGACCTTAATCTATGGAGAGGCTTTTTTCAAGTTTAAATAGAGAGCTTGACTTGCTTGTGAAGGTCCTTCTCTTTTGGTGGGACCTAAACTCTAATCTCTGTATCCCTAGCACTGGGCAGAAACTAAAATCTCTGCTTAGCTCTTCATCTTCCTAACGGCTTTTTTCTTGAATTTCCCCCACTTTGTGGATGTTTAGTTTCCAGCTCTCTGGTAGCCCAAAACTGTCTATCTTCTACACAGTCCAATAGAACTGCCACTTCTTGCTCGGGCTATTTTCCTGTTAAACAGGAAAGTCAAGGAAAAAGCCAAAGTGATTGTGGAGCTGATCTACACTTCCTTTCTTTTAAGAGTTGTAGCCCTTCCTGTTTCTGTGTGCATTCTTCTTTAGTGTTTTCAAAGAGTTTTTACATTTGTCTAGATAACATCTATTAGGAGGAGGGTTAGTTCCATGTAGGCTACTCTTGTTATGATGATAATGAAAACTGATTTTTATGAATTGAATCACAGGAAATGAAAAACTGATACCTGTTGAGAGTGAGAACATTAATTTTCAATAGAAAATTTGGGCACAGATATATGAGGAAAGATTTTTATTTTCAAACCAGGGTCAAGGTCAGCTATGTTTGAAGGATGATAAAAGATAAATTTATCCATTCATCTACTTGGGCTATTTTTGTATCTTGGTGATTGTAAATAACACAGCAGTGAACATAAGGGTGCTTATGTTCTTTTGAATTAGTTTGTCGGGTTTCTTCAGATAAATTCCCAGAAGTGGAATCACTGGGTCATAAGGCAGTTCCATTTTTAACTTTTTGAGGTATTTCCATGTTGCTTTCCACGGTGGTTGCACCAGTCTGCATTCCCACCAACAGTGCACAAGGGTTCCCCTTTCTCCACATCTTTTCCAGCACTTGTTGTTTATTGATTTATTGCTGATAGCCATTCTGACCAGTGTGAGGTGATATCTCATTGTGGTTTTAATTTGTATTTCTTTTATGATTAATGACATTGAACATCTTTCATATGTCTGTTGGTTACCTGTATTGTCTTAGTTGGACAAGTGTCTATTCAGGTCCTTTGCCCATTATTTAATTGGATATTTTTGTGTATGTGTTGAGTTTTATAAATTATTTATAAATTTTGGATATTAACACCTTATCAGATGTATCTGTGAATATGTTCTCCCATTCAGTGGGTTGTTTTTTTATTTTGTTGATGGTTCCCTTTGCTCTCCAAAAACTTTTTATGTCAATGTATTCCCAGTTCTTTCTTTCTTTATTTTTTTTCGTCTCCTTTGCCGGAGGAAATAGACAGAAAAAACACTGCTACAAGCAGTAACTGAGATTTTACTGCCTATGTTTTTTCCTAGGATTTTTATGGTTTTGGGTCTAACATTTAAGTCTTTAATTCATTTTGAATTTATTCTTTTGTGTGGTGTAAGAAGATGGTCTGGTCTTTTTTCTGCACTTATCTGTTCAATTTTCCCAACACCATTTATTGAATAAACTTTCTTTAGTCCATTGTATGTGCTTGCTTCCTGGTCAAATATTAATGGATTATAAAAGTGGACATTTATACAATGGAATATTATTTGGTCATGAGAAGAAAATTGTACCCTTTGTAATAGCATAGATGGACCTGGAGAACATTATGCTAAGTGAAATAAGCCATTCAGAGAAAAATACATGCATGTGATTTCATTCACATGTGGAATTGCACAAACTGAACTAGCAGGCAAAATAGAGACAGAATCATAGAGAGAGAGCAGGCTGACAGCTCTGAGAGTAGGGTTAAGGGTGGAGGAACCGAGCAAAAACGAAAAAGGACTCACAGACGTGGACAACAGTGTGGTGGTTACAAGGGGAGGGAGTATGGGGGGGTAGGGATAAATGGTAATGAAAAAAACACAATAAAAAATTAAAAAAGATAATTTAAAACTAAGATATATGAACATTGAGTTGATGTTTGATAATTTTTTTGAAAATTGAATAAGATCATTAAGCGTTAAAGACTGCAAATTGAATAAAGAATTTAAGATGAGAATTAAAGAGAAAAGAATAATAAAGAACAATTAATATTTGGATTTAGTAGGAAGAAATTTAAAGATTATTATAAATTTTAAATGAGTGCTATTAGAGGAGTACTTGGTTATTTTTGTAAATGTTAGTGATGATTAAATGGTTATAAATTTGAGGGTTTACATGCGATAGCTAAAGAACTATGTATATTTGTTAACTGTGCCAGAGCGGTTTGTGTTTAGAGTATCTGGATGGTACAAAGTCACTAACTAGCCACCTAACAATGTGGGAGAAATAGAATAACTGAAGCTATAGTAGTACGCATTATATTTAGATCATAAAGAAATAGAGAACGAAGGCAGAAATAAATCTGTAAAGAATAATACTGTACTATCCTCCTGCAGGCTTAAAAATTGGGGTTTGGAAAGAAACTAACAATTTGCTTTCTCCATCAAACTATCCCCAAGAAGGGAGCCAGGTGTTGCAGACCACCTTGTATCTGTGTTTTTCCTCTCGCCCTTTTGTGAACTCTCAAGGTTAGTCAGTGATTTTCTTCACACTTTCATTAGGAAATTTGCCAAAGGCATCCTTTTGAGGCAGCTGTCTCTGTACCCTTGGAGGCCATCAGTAATGTTTCCTATCTATAGGAGCAGTCGGCACAAAAACGTTGGGCTGAACTGAGTCTTGGTGATTTAAAACATTATCCGTCAAAACTACTCCTTCCCCCACCTTCAACCAGTATAACCTATATCAGATTTTGGGACTTCTAGTTCTTTAATAATTTTTTATTGTATTTTTTTTTCAGGTGAAATCTATCAATAATAGTAAATAACACCCAAACAAAATAATAATGAGAGGAGACTTAATTTTTAAAACGTAATTTAAATAACAACAATAATGGGCACATTAGAAATCCTTATACATAAATAAATGAAAATTCTTTTCATATAGAATGTTAAAATTTTTATTTTCATCATTGAGATTTTATAAACTAAAATCAACTTTTATTGTGTTGTTTTTGTATAAGGTGGTCAGGTGATAATTCATGCTAACAATTTTGTAAACTTTTGAGGGCATATAAAATGCGATGTTAATAAGCCCATGATTAAAATGCATCAAAGTAAATTTCGTTTCTATTTAATTTAATCATATAGGCAACTGTTTTACCATATGCATCTTTAATATATTGTCTAACTGCTTCTGTTATTTTACTAAACTGTCTTCTTTCAGCCACCCACACAGAATATGCCTATGGGTCCTGGAGGGATGAATCAGAGCGGCCCTCCCCCACCTCCGCGCTCCCACAGCATGCCTTCAGATGGAATGGTAGGTGGGGGTCCTCCTGCACCACACATGCAGAACCAGATGAACGGCCAGATGCCTGGTAAGTTTTTCTCCTCTAAGACATTAACACCAGAGTTGCTTAGCAACTGAAACGACATGGGGGCTCAAGGGATACTAGATTGTTGATGACAAAACTGCTTTGAATGCCCCCGAGTACAAGCTCTCTTAGAGTTTGTTAGCTACAGAGCTACGTGACCTGTATTCAGTGTTTATCAGGCTGCCCTTGGGCTTTGATGTAGCTGACACACAGCATTCCTCTGATGAACAGAACCAGCTAAATTTAGTCTGTCTGAAACTATGCGATACAGCTGGTTTTGGAAGCTTTTTGGAAAAAAAAAAAAGGCATTGTGCCCTGGCTTAAGAATTAAAATCTCTTTATAAAAAGGTATTATAACATTTCCCTGCGTTTTGTATGAAAAAATTTTACTGGTTTCAGAAGCAGTAATCCTGGACAAACACATATGGAAAAGAAACAAAACAATCTCTAAAGTGCTAATGTATTTTAGTATTTTTCTCATTGATACCATTAAAGCTGATTATAGATTTGTGTTCATAACATAATATAAATATGGAAATTGGTATTAAAGCAAAATTAAAAACTGAAAAATAATTTCAGCTTTCTTATATAATGAGCCATTTCCTTTACTGTTTATCCATAAGTTTAGAGCCACCTAGGATATATTTCAGACTATTGGAGGCTTATTTAGTTACCTTTGCTGGTTTGAATTTTTAATCTGAAAAGTATATTTAAACTATTTTGTTCTTGTTACAGGCACAGCCCATACCCATAATTTTTATTGGGGTGTTTTCTACATTTAATATGAGAATATTTTCACTTTCTAATGACAATGGTTATTTGCATTAATAAAAAGAAAAATATTATATAAATAACAATAATGAAAGTAAATTAAAATAACAAAACAATTTTTTTTAAATTAATAATTAGCACCCTTAAGAGAGTGCCATCTTAGCTGATTGTGTTGGTTGGTAGCATTGGTGACCATGGATGATGGGTGTAGACAATGAAGTAAAAGAGCACAGAGCTCAGGAAGACAAGTAGCCTCGTTTATAGAAGATTGGTGTGTGACTGACTGCTCAGGTGGATGGGCGATGGGGTTTTGGTGGCTGTCTTCTATTTCTTGCTAAAGCTTGGCACAGTCAGTGGGCCCACATGGCACACAGTGATTGGGAGTTAGGAATAAAGACATAATTACTTGTCAGGTTGTAGTCAGGAGGAATATTTTTGCTGAATCCACATTTGGCCCATTAGGACACAGTGTTTTTAAGACTGGAAAGGTGCTAATACAGGGAGCAAGTGAGAAGTATTGTGATTTGTTTTGTTTTGTTTTTATGGTGCTACCTTTAAAATTAGGATTTTCACTTGACTTCTCCATGTAACTCAAGCCTAAGGCCGAAGAACCAGTTCAGCAGCAATGTAATGATTGTTAACCTGACAGTCTGGTTTTGTGTAAGGCCACCTGGAGTTGTTATAATTTTTATAAGCCAGGGATTTTCAACTACTTAAGACCTAGGTTGTCCAGAATACTGTGGAGCTTCCAAAACAATTTATAGAGACTTAGGTAAAGGAGAAGTTAGAACTCCACTTAGTTATATTTTCTTTTAATAAGTTCCTCATAGCATTTAGCCAACTTTTAGGTGCACAAATTTAATCTAGGCTTTTTATTTACTATTTTAGTTTTATTTTTAATATTTTACAATCTAAGTTGTATAGCTGTTTATATGCTGCTGTTCTTGGTCAGAAAACCTCTAAATGTCAGGTTCCTTTTCAAAAAAAGTTAACTGATTTTTAAAAGAAGACTAGATAGCACATGCCTATGGTACCAAAATCAGAAGGTACAAAAAGGCACATATTCCTTGCCTCTCCAGATACTTTGTTCCAGAGCCATTGGTGTCCAGTTGTCTTTAAAGAGGTATTCTCTGCAGCCCTGACTGGTGTGGCTCAGTTGGTTGGGTGTTATCTCAGAAACTGAAGAGTTGTTGGTTTGATTCCGTATCAGGGCACATGCCTGGGTGGCAGGCCAGGTCCCATGCTGGGCACCTGGAAGAGGCAACTGTTTGATGTTTCTCTCACACATTTATTTCTCTTTCTCTTCCTCCCTTCCCTCTGTCTAAAAATAAATAAGTAAACTCTTTTAAAAAGTTATTAAAAAAAGATTGTATATAAAACATATGCATTTTTAATTCTTTTTAAAAAAAGTAGTAGCACATAGCATATATTAGATAGTATTAATATATCATTTTTTCCCCCTCTTAGAGGTATATCTTAGAGACTATGAGTATGTAAAGATATATTTTGGAGACCACACAGTGTATAAATAGTAGCCTCATTCTTTTTGGTGACTGCATTGCATTCTTTTTTATGGATGTCTTTAATTTACTTGAGCAGTTCCCTTCTGATAGAAAAATAGATTATTTCTAGTCTTGGTATTAAAAACTATACTGCTGAGAATGTCTGTAAAATAAAAGTAAACAAGTAAATAAATAAACACATACTATTTTGTATGTGTACACACATGCACACACACAAAACTTGTATATTTATAAGATAAATTCCTAGAACTGAAATTGCTGGGTTAAAATTATATGCATTTAAACATATACCTTCCCTGGACAGTGCATGAAGGTGTACTTCTTTCTTCATAATAGTTGGAGCACAACTTTTGATCTTTCCCAGTGTGAAAGATGAAAAATGGGCCTCATAGTTTCAATTTGCCTTTTTATATTGTAAGCTAAGCATACATTCTGATGTTTATGACCTCTTGTAGTTTTTTGTGTGAACTGGTCATTCATGTCCTTTGCCCTTTCTTTTCCTGCTGGTGGTGTTTTACGTTATATGTTAAGTAACTAGTATGGTCTATGATGTGATTTGTAAATAGTTTTTCCCAGTTTATTTTTTATTTTTTAATTGTTTTTTTCTTTGTGTCTTCAAAAAAATTTCTTTTAAGATTTTCTTTTTTTATTTTTAGAGAGAGATGAAGAGAGGGAGAAAGAGAGGGAGAGAAACATCAGTGTGTGGTTGCCTCTCACATGCCCCCTACTGGGGACATGGCCTGCAACCCAGCCATGTACCTTGACTGGGAATCGAACTGGCGACTCAGGTTTGCATGCTGGTATGCAATCCACTGAGCCACACCAGCCAGTGCTCTCTCTTCCTTTTTAGTGTTAAATTTTTTAGTCCTCTGGAATTAGTGTTTGTGGAAGTAAGGAAGAAGGGGTCCAACTTGGTTTTCTTTACCAGATGGCTGTTCAATTGTCAACACCATTTATTGAATTATTTTTGCCTACTGGTGCTTAGTGTCACCAGTGTAACTGTTATTGACCTACCCATTTGAGTTGGTTTTTAGAGTCTGCTTTGGGTTCATTGATCTGTTAGTTTATTTATGTGCTAATATTACACACTTTTAATTACACCAGCTTTATGTTTTGCTGTCTTACAAAACTAGTCCTCCCTCATTACTCTTTATTTTTCAGAGTGTTTTTGGCTTTTCAGAAGCATTAATTTCTTAGTAAAATGGGAATAACAATATTCACCTCTTAGTATCTGCTATTATTCATGTAAAGCATTTTCTTTGTATTGCTATTGATAGGGTACTGAAGTTATTGTTTGGTTATTGTTATTTTAATAATGTGGAAAAAAACCCTTTTAAGGTACTTTTGTACAGACCATCTGTTTAACTTTCATATTTTGGTTCTGATCACTTTTCTTCAAAGGGCCTAATCATATGCCTATGCAGGGACCTGGACCCAATCAAATCAATATGACAAACAATTCCATGAACATGCCTTCAAGTAGCCATGGATCCATGGGAGGTTATAACCATTCTGTGCCATCATCACAGAGCATGCCAGTACAGAACCAGATGACAATGAGTCAAGGGCAACCCATGGGAAACTATGGCCCCAGACCAAATATGAATATGCAGCCAAACCAAGGTAAATGAACTTTGTTATTCTTGATTAGAATGCTACATCAGCCTTTGAAAATAAATTTTTCAGGTTGCTAGTTGATGCATAAATGTGTAAGTTTTGAGGTGTGTAACAATTTGTGTGTGTGTTTGTGTGTATGGAATGGAATATTGAGTTTGTAACCAGCTTAGAATATTCTTGTTTTACATTGAGAAATTAAATTGCTTAATTTAGTTTTTTAAGTTTATTTATTTTTATGTCTTTTGGACAGTTTATTTGAGATTTTATATTTTTGGATTATTTTTAAAAAACAAGCTAATCAATGAATAACCAAACATTTGCTTTAGAGATAAAATATTGAGAAAATATAATTTTATTGTTGCAAGTACAGCCCCTTAGAAAACATCTTCTCTGTGGTTCATTTTACTTACTAAGGATGTATTAATTTATGTGAATATCCCTTGATTTATATGGAGGCTTTTTGATGTTGAGTTTGTATTTAGTGGAGATGCTGCTGTGTTCTTGTATTAGAGTGATGTAAAGTCTATTAAAGTTTATTACCAATCTCAGGGAATAAAATTGTTATCATGTTTCTGTTTTAAATATTCTTGTGAATAATAGCTGAAAACTGGTGAGACTGTTCTGCTAATTGTCTGTTGAAACATTTGGCATATTGCCAGCCTAAAGCTTTTTCATCTATGAAATGTGGTAAGGTTAAGAGTATAAGATTTAATATATTTGCAATAAAAATTGCTAGATTTTATTTATGAAAAACAAATCACTGCAGTGAATCCAGATAAGCGAAGTCAGTGCCAATCTGTTGATAATTATTTATGATGGAGTAATATATTCAAAATTTTAAATACTAATATAGATATTTGCAATTTTGATGATATACGCTGAAAACAAAGGAAGATAATAGAATAAATAGTCAGTGAATGTAGCTTCACAGAATTGGTGCTTGCTCCAATTTTTTTCTACATAGTTGTTTCGTGCTATTATTTTCTTTTCTTTTCTTTTTCTTTTTTTTTTTTTGTTTTAGGTCAATTAAAGATTCAAACCAATAGCAAGATACAGTCATTGCTAGATCAGAATGGAGTTGAGATGTCTCTCCACATAGTTGGTTTACAGGAGAGAGGGCAAGAAAATTGATAGCGATTCTTACAGTAACTACAGTAATGATGACACATTCTAGAAACTATAGTTAAGAAAAGTTAGGGTGTATGTACAAAAAAATGGATGTTGTGGCATAGTTTGATTTCAAGAAGAAAAAATATGCTTGAAGCAATGTGCATGTAGGAAAATAGTTACTGATTTTGGAGAAAGGAGCTGAATTGATAGAAATTTTTCATTTTAAATTAAGGATCAAGTTCTCTTTTAAAAAATGTCATCTTTTGTAACCTAGGTATGTGCCTTGACTGGGAATCAAATGTGCAACCTTTTGGTGCACAGGATGATGTTCCAACACACTGAGCCACCTGGCCAGGGCATCTACATATTTTACATTAAAAATTTTCTGTTTTGGTAAATAAGTAGAAGAAATTAGGGGAGATTACATTGTAAATATAGCCTTTAAAGAAAAGCTTGAAAATAGCAAAATTTTATAAAAGGGAAACACTTGACTTTTAGAAATTTCTTTTAACATTTATTGAGATTCCCTGGCTGGTGTGACTCTGTGGATTGAGCACCAGCTTACGAACCAAAGGATTGCTGGTTCGATTTCCAGCAGGGCGTATGCCTGGGTTGCAGGTCAGGTCCTCAGTTGGGGGCATGCAAGAGGCAACCACACACTGATGTTTCTTTCCCTCTCTTTCTCTCTCCTTTTCTCTCTGTCTAAAAAAATAGATAAAATCTTTAAAAAAAAAAACAAAAAACCTAAACATTTATTGAGATGTTATTAGCTGTTCTTGAGTTAAAGACAACTGTTGGAATCTTTTGGCTGGCTCCATATACATATCTCTGTCAAGAGATATTGAATAGTATTAAAGCTAATTATCATTTTTAATAATAGGGTTTATTAGTCAAGGAAAAATATTTGTGGGATTTCTTAGATTAAAACTCTGTCAATTGACCAAAAAATGGAAAAAAGACTAATTCTGAGAATTTTTTTTTAAGATGTGTTCTTTTTTTTTTTTAAGATTTTTATTTATTTTTTTATTTTTAAAGAGGGGAAGGGAGAGAGAAAGGGACGGAGAGAAACATTAGTGTGTGGTTGCATCTCACACACCCCCTACCAGGGACATGGCCTGCTACCCAGGCATGTTCCCTGCACTGGAAATCAAACGACAACCCTTTGGTTCGCAGGCTGGCGCTCAGTCCACTGAGGCACACCAGCCAGGGTAGAATTTTGTTTTAAAAAGGAACAATTAAATGGCAATTATTATTAATTATTTAAGTGGCATATTTGGGAACTTTTGGTAGTAGTTTCTAAACAGAACTACTGTTTAATTTTCTAAGCAGGTCAGTCTAGATAGATCTATTTTTGGTAGTTTTTGAGCTTACATTTTTACCTTCTCTTCCCTTCTTTTTCCCTCAGCTTTGAAAAGAAATGAAGGAGGGAAAAGTAGTTTGAAAATCTTGTCATTATAATTTAGAATCTTGTTGAAATTAATACAAGGGACAGGTATCATACATTTACAATTTATCATTTTGACTCTAAGAAAGTAAAAAGAAGTATTCTGCTAATTTATAGTACAAGTCGAATATAATAAGTCACATTGTATCAGTAAACTCATCTCTCTTCACTGTTAAGCTGGTAAATCACTACAATGTTGCTAGTATTACAGGTTTCTCTGTTACAGTTTTAGGGGTAGATAGCTACATTGTAGTTCATTTATACATATAATATTGCTACTTTGAATGAGTTTTTCAATGTTGTAATTTTTTCTTCAATGATGACATTTTTTGGTTATAAAAATTTAAAAATCTGGAAAATGTAGAAAAGCATAGAGAGGAAAATAAAAAAATCATCTATAATTTTGCTCTGTAAGTTTTAAATTACTCCATAGACAAAGTACAGTACATTTATATAAAGTTATATACCCTGTACTGAGACACTTTGTAGCAGCAGTTTGATTACTTGTTAATTACATAATTATTTGTAAATTTATGTTTAATTATTTTTCTCTAGGCTCTACATTTTATGAAGGCAGGAACTGTGTTTTATTTTTTCCATCACTACCTTATCCTATTTGTTGACTGATAGTTGAGTTAGATTTCCTTTTTATAACAAATTAGAAAGCTAGCATCGTCTTCTGTGGTATTGTCATCATCAGCTTTTATTCCAGGAATGAACCAAAAAAGGAACTGTCAGATAAAACAGATGATTGTCAGTTATACCAAAACCTTTTGGGTTTGGGAGACAAAATCCGGATATGTTTCTATTCAACAAATTACAAATTCATTTTTATTACAGTTCATTTTTTAAAACTTTGTATTTTAAAGTAATTGTAGGTTTACAGGAAGTTGCAGAGGTAATAATACAGAGATCCTAGGTGTCCTCCCCCAACCATCTCTAATCCCCAGCAGCCACTATTACTTTTCTCTCCATTTCTGTAATTATATCTTTTTTGGAATGTTGTATAAATGGAGTCATGCAGTATGTGACTTTGTCAGATTGGCTCTTTTTACTCAGTATAATTAATATTCAAGTTGTTGCATATATCAGTGGTTCATTCCTTATTATTGCTGAGTCATATTACGTAATACGGTTGTGTTGCAGTTTGCTTAATCGTCCACACATCGAGGAACATTTTGGTTGTTTCTAGTTGTAGGCTTTTTCAAATAAAGGTGCTATAAACCATCGTGAACATATTCCTGTTTTTGTTTGGGTGTAAGTTTTCATTTCTCTTGGTTAAATACCCAGGAGTGCAATTGCTGGGTCATAGGTAACTGTATGTTTAGTGATTTTTTTTTTTAGAGACTGCCAAACTGATTATTAAAGTGGCTCTACCATTTTACAATCTCACCAGCAATGTATGAAAGATCTAGTTCCTACAGATCCTTGCCAGCATTTGGTATTGTCAATATTTTTTTTATGGTAGCTCTTCTAAAAATGTATAGTGATATCTCCTTGTTGTCTTAATTTGCATTTCCCTAATGGCTACTGGCACGAACATCTTTCATGTGCTTATTTGTCAATATATATCATCTTCAGTGAAATGTCTCTTCATGTCTTTTGCCCTTTTTCTGGTTGGATTGTTTGCTTTTCACTGTTGAGTTTTGAGAAGTCTTCTATATATTTTTCTAGGATTAATTAAAATCTCCCAATATTTTATGTGACATTTCAAACATAGGGAAGAGTTGAAGGAATTTTACCTGCATATTGCCACCTGTATTCTACAGTTAATATTTTACTAAATTTGTTTACCATCCGTTAATTTACTTACACATCAATGAGTCTTATTTTCCAAAATGTATTTCAGAGTTATTTGCAGATATTTGTACACTTTACCTATAACACTTAAGCTGCATGTTATTAGAAGTCAACATTTTAAATATTTTTTTAAAAAAATGTTGGACAACGTTTACATAGAGTGAAATGCATAGGTATTAAGTGTATCATTCAATGAGTCTTGGCATTTTTGTAACATAAACTCTTTGGATTCATTTTTTAGCTGACGTCCGACCCTAAGTGCCCTGTGTGAGGCAGTCCTACTCCAATACTAAACATTTTATGTAGACCATAATCTATAGCTGCTTTTATGGCAAAAGGGGTTGACCGGTTATTCTCTCCTAGCAAACTATCTCAATGTGTAGTTCTAGGACTACTTGGATCAGAATCACCAGGAGTACTTGTCAAAATAAGATTGTCAGCCCCATCCTATGCTTGCTAAACCAGAATCTCTAGGGGGTAAATTTTACAAATTACACTGAACAAACATTCAGTGTTAGTGTTTTTATGTCCATCCCCTCAGAATTTTTCTGGGCTGGGTAATGTCTTCTGTGTCAGATGGTTCATCACTTTTCAGCCTTCATGCCAAGTGACACAGAACTATACATTCTAATGTGGCCCATCTCCATGGCTT